AATAGTGGGTTTAGCGATTGAGAAAAACTGTAAATATATTTTTTATTTATTATTTTTAATGACAATCAAACATATGTGCCGGCCACCACTGGTTTAGAGCCCTCACACGGCAAATCCCGAACAAATGCTGGCATCAAACGTGTCTTTACCACATAGTTATATGAGTGTGTTTTCGCAAAACAGCGCCCCCTCCGGTGCATCGTGCACTCATCAGGCAGAGAGCGGTACTGCAGCAGGAGAGAGGCTTCCAGAGAACACAGAGAACAAAACACAATGAAATGAATGTCATTACATAAATCAGAGAACCCCGGTTAGAACATCTGTAGACATTCACAACAACAACAAAACAACAACAACAACAACAATAATCCTCAACAACTGTTGATACTAACATGAAGTGATAGTTATGTACAAGTACAATTACACAGGAACAGTCATTACTGTTGTACAGGTAACAATTATAGGATCACATAATTTATGTTTATTTGTGTGTGTGTGTGTGTGTGTGTGTGTGTGTGTGTGTGTGTGTGTGTGTGTGTGTGTGTGTGTGTGTGTGTGTGTGTGTGTGTGTGTGTGTGTGTGTGTGTGTGTGTGTGGAGAGACCAGGACCAATTGGTCCATCGTTACATCACTTGGTTCCCGGAAGATAAAAATGGAAAAATAAATATCTCCAACGAGGCGTTCTGGGGCAGCATAGACAGCTCTTTTCTGTGATAGAGTTTTACTCCCTACAGGGTGTACTTTGAGGGTTTGTGACTCTGCAGACTGTTTACATGCAGAAAAACCTTCATAACACACAAGGGGACGGGTAATAACCGGAAAAGCATGATATGGGACCTTTAGACAAAACTGATGCATTAGTAAAACAATGGAAAGGTTCATAATGCATCGTGTACAAAAGAACACATTTGGACACCTTTTTGATTGTTAACCCCTAAAATGTAGACTATTCCCAATAATGGAAGACTCCTGTGAACATCTCAAATTGTTCATTTAATCAATTGAATCTCTTTTATGGTGGCTATTGTGTTACTTTAAAATGTTCATTGAACTTAATCAATTATGTTACTCCTATATGTCTTTAATTTTTTCTCAGGGCAAGTAAGCCTTACTTCTTACTATGGATAACATTTTATTTTATTTCTTAAGACCTGCAAGCTTTTATTCAATACTAGAATGACTCATCTGTTGCTTGGTGGTGATGAATGCACTGCAATGTAGTAACCTCTGTTGAGTAACGTGACATTTGATTCGATTGGATACAAAAAATGTTATAAATAATTGTCACTCATCAGAGATAACACTGTGTGGTGTTTAGGTTAGTCAGTGTTATGAGACTTTCACTCCACGCCTTTATGTAATTGTGTAAATTATATGTCTGTAAACATCTCTTTGTTGTTGTTCACACAAACACAGTATGTACCAGTCCCCTATCACTCCCAGTTGTTTTGCCTTGGCAGCCTAACTTTGCCATGGGTTTGGCCTCCCTGCAGATTCCACACGGGGCCATGGTCAAGAGGATGCACATCTATACTGGCAACAACCTACAAGAAACAAGGTAACACAAATACACACACACACACTTAAGCCTCTTACACACCGAGCCGATTATCGGTGTCGATAGATGTCAGGCCGTCGATGAGCGTCGTGTCGTGTCGCCCTACTCAGATTAGTGTCTTTTCGGCCGTGCCGACACCTTCCTCCGCCGATTTGACATGTTGAATCGGGGACCGTTGGCCAAAGAAATCTCTCTGATTGGCTGTTCAGCTTAGCGAATCAGTGCATGAGAAGCGAAATGGAAGTGAGGGACCCAAACAAACAATTAAGAAGGCAAATCTGAGATTTAATTTAACTCCAGCTCTCCAGCTCTCGACACAGGTTCGGGAAAGCCCCATGAGCTTCTCGCTCTAGAGTGAAAATGGAACGCACACGCTATTTGTTGTTTGTTTATATCACGCAGTCTGTTCTTCTCTCGGTTATCACGCAGTCTGTCTTCCGGTTGTTGCCTCTTTTGAATGACAAATACACACTACCGCCGCCTGCTGGTAAGGAGAGTTATTGCAGCTCACGCATGCGCAGTTCGTACGTGCAACTTGGCCGTCGGCTGAAGTCTTTGCGGTGTGTTCTAGTGCGAAACATGGCCAAGACGCAGGAGACGCGAGGCGACGTGTTCTTAGGTGTTCTTTGGTGTCAGTTTGGTGTGTAAGAGGCTTTACACACACAAACTTTACATCACCTAAAGGACATGCCTCTTATAAAGGGTGCACATACTAGGTTCTCTAACCAGTTTTTGTAAATATTGATTAGTGACTTTTATATTTATCCATATTGGTCCATAAGCACAATTCTAATCATAACTATCCATTGTTGACAAAGTAAATAAGAGCGTGTGAGATCCTTATATCCCCCTTTAACAGTTTGAAATGTGAAAAAGTGAGAACATTTATTTTTAACAAAAAAATTAAGACTTTCACACACACACTGTACTCTCTGTCCTCAGAGCTCCGGCAATGCCGTTGGCTTGTTTCCTTGGCAACATCTTTGCGGAGTGTGTGAATGTCCTGAGAGACCGGGCAGGGGCCTTGGGGCTCAAACTCCGCCTTCTCACTGCAGGTAACTGTTTGTCTGTGTACTTTATTTCTTGAAGACAAAGATTTATTATAGATCAACATCTGTCCAAAATGACACACATATTTTCTTTTTCTTGACTTTCCATCACATACCTACCACAATACATAACACTGCTGTGCAACTGGAGCTAAACAGAGAAACCTAACCATTATAATATTTAATACCTGGGAGACTGACCTTAAAATATTTATTATCACTTTTAATGTTCTTATCAATTAGCTGTGTTGAAGCACATTGTATAAATGATAGCAAGGGTGTATGAGGTTTATTATTCAAATTTGTATCTTCTCAAATTTTGGGAAGTTCAACCTTAGCACCTCCGCTCCTATGGGTGTGGACAAAACAGAATCTCAGATCCGCAAGGGAGTAAAAAAGATGCCATGGCAAGCATAATATCATCCATTTGCTTATCAGGCTTTCAATCTACAGCACTGACATTAAATGTTTTGCTTTTACAGTTTTTCATCAGGTTGATCCAAGTTCTAATGCTTTCCATGCGTGGCAAATATATGCACTTTTCCTGGGTTCCCGCACAAAAGATAAACATGAATCAAAATCAATGATGTTGCTGAACTTTGACTCAAGCATTTACCATATACAAATGCAAAATTCTACACACATTTTTTAATTCTCAAGTAATTCATATTTTGCAAATTGGTTAAAATATTTAACTAGCTGTAGTGGATAGTAGTATTTTTATTACAGCTCTTTTTCCGGTGAACATCACAGCAAAACAAGATAAAAAGTATGGACCATGTATATCTTGACGTAAGGTAAACACAAATTGTGTCCAACTGGCCACCCTCAGGGAGACAACCATTTCCCCTGACATGCTGTTTCTTCATAATTTATCTAGAGAATGAATATTTTACTTTCCTGTTTGTTTGTATTGTGTGAATACAGGCTGTGGTCCAGGTGGGATGGCGGATTCTAAAGTGAGGTCGATAGAAAGGCGCATCTACTTTGGAGATTCATGTCAGGATGTACTGGGTGCTCTGGGCTCGCCACATAAAGTCTTCTTCAAGTCTGAGGACAAGGTAGGAATAGTCTGTTCCTTTAAGTGTGCATTTATTGTCATTGTTTGAACTACTTCACTGTGTTTAATAAAACCTTGCTTGTTTTATCCTGATTTTCATCCTCTGTCAACTCAATATCCACCCTGGGGTTGTGATTTTTTTAATCTAAACACCATTTGAGTCTTTTAGCTACTGACATGCTACATTTTGCAAGAGAGTGTCCATCTTTTACTCAGTTGAATGTGCACGGCAGTTGGCTTCTACATCTTGAATGTGGGATCACAAGAAATCTTGATATACATTAGGATATCTTAAATGAGTTTAAAGGGGACCTATCATGCAAAATAAAAAATGTCATGTCTTTTATACATAAATATGTGTCCCCGGTGTGTCAGGGAACTCAAAAGTGTCAGAAAACAAATCCCTCTCTCTTTTCCTCCGTACCCAAATCTCTAAAAACAGGGGGTACAATGGAGCTGATCCAGATTTTGATTTTTTTTCAGTTTTTTAAAAAAAAATTTAAACTTTATACACCAGGGGTCTCAGACTCAATTTATCTGGGGGCCGCTGGACGTAGAGTCTGGGCAAGTCTGGGCCGCTTCAAGTATTCCGCAAAACATTTATTAAAAAATACAACATTAACAGTTCTTCAACATCTTCTTAACATGAACTGTTCTTCAAAACATAACTATGTACAGTTGCTCTTTCT